AAGGCTTTCTGTTGCCGGGAAATGAAGTACCACATCTGTGGCTCTCAAGGAACTGCTTATGCACAGGCTTTTAGTCCAAATTCAATGAACGACGGCCCTACTGGCTTTTGATAGCAGGCAAACTTCAAATTACCTGACTTTTCTTTGAGCCTCTAGAATTCATAAGTACCAACCTGATACTCCACTGCTCAAACGCATTCCAACTTGCTTTTACAGCATGAGGTAGTTTAGAGCGATTCAGCCTTCAATGAAAGAAAAGTACGACCTTTAAATCGTTTTGTTTTACTAGATGTAAGATCCATAGGCTGAATTGATAGGGAAACTGTTTGCTGCCTCACCTGAAGTAAATGCTGGATGCATGCTGTTATTCTGTGATAAATAGTAAGAGGCTAATTCTTTTTTGATGAGGACTAGCTATTTCCAGTTACCTTATTCTTTGCACTGATCAAGAATTAACATACAGATAATTATTTTGCAGTATATGCTCTATATGTTAATACTTTTATGTATTTGACCTCCCAGTCCAGGTGTTATGAGAATTTTCATAATGTCCTACTCAAAGCTAACGGGGTAGCTCCAGCCCTTTAATCTTCCTTTTTCTCTCAATGTCCTCAACTACATTCACTAAGCAAGAACTCCTGGATAAAGTCACAATTTTAGCTAGATTGTCTTGTATCTTCAAAATGTTATAAGAATCCTTCTCTTAGTATTGTAGCTGAGCCCATTATGCTAAGATAAATGAGCCTTTGAAAATAATTGGAAATTGGACCCAGTTAAAGTATATGTTTGGAGTGTGCTTTGCCTATTGAGTCAATATTTTTGGACAGTGTTCAAAGGTACGTGGTTGTTACTCTGTATGACACTGCATATCTATCTGGCTCAGAAGTTTAAGACTCTTTGGGCAAATTTTCTGATAATACAACTGATTATTTCTGTAGAGTTGTAAATCAAACCTGAACACAATAGAAGGCTGCGTTGGATAAGGGATTTTCTTAGATTGTGTTCAATCTAATCCTGCAGGAAAGACTGTAGCAAAGCTACTAACATAAACAAGAATTTTAAAAAATGCAAGCTTATAGCCTAAATGGATAGTAGGTAAATGAGCTGATCAGCTTCCGAGAAGCAGTAAACAGAACAAATGAATATTTATTCTAGAGTAAGAAATGAATATATAGATCTTTTTTATTATAATGGTCTAGCTAACAAGAGTGAGACAGGAATACTAAAAAAATAAAGCAGCCCTAGAGTTAGAAGTCTGAGTTTTCTTCCAAATAACAAACACCATGGTTAAAACTAATGCTATTCAACAAAAGTAGCTACCACAAAAAGGCTATCTATTAGCATGAGCTAAGTATATGTAAATGGTATTTACTTCACTGAGAGTGGCATATGCTCCACACTTCAGAGGATTCATTCCAATACAATGGTGCAACTGATTACGAAGCAAATACACATTACATTAAAAAAACTAAGGCAGGAAACAAAGAAGATTATTTTGAAGTGCTTTTAGGTTGTGATTTTATTAAAGGAAGTTGTTTATTCTTAGAGGGGAATTAGAAATTGAATATTCAAATTTAAAATTACAGAAATAGATATCTGTTTATGGGTCGGGGTCAGAGAGACTTTTATTAGGAACAAGAATATAATCTTCTTTTATATATATAATATATATTTCTTATATATATAATCTACACAGATTACAAATACTTTTAAAATATTTTTTATTTTTAAAATATTAATTACTTTTTGCTTTTATCTAACTTCCTCCTCACCTCTCTTCTTTACTTTCTTTCCTACAATCTTAGTTTACAAGGCTCCTCACTGAAGAACAGGTATCACACAGTTTTTCCTTATTTCACCTTTCAGAACTCAATTGGAATCAGGAATTAAGAGCCTCACCCTGCAACATAAAGGGCCAAGTCAACAGACAGTCTAAATTGGCCTTGCTCCATTGATATTAATGAGGTTAGGCTGATGTATGCTCTCAATTGCCAGATCTTACTTATCCGGTGAAAATAATTTTGCTATCTGCATGCAGGGAATTTGATGGGAAAGTTCAAAGGAGAGAAAGAGCTGGGGGAAAAGGAATGGAAGAAAGAAAGGGAAAAACAACAGTGGGTTCTTTCCTTTACTCAAATAATTTACATTTCAGGAGCGTGACGTTTTCTTACTTTTTGATCTGTTTTTCTATTTGCAGCAAAGTCGATGCCAAAAAGAATCCCTTCATATACTATGCTAGTATCGTATCAATCTATGGAGGAAAAAGCAAACAAGATCAGCTTTATGCTTATTTTCAGAGATAAACCATACTGAACTACAGAATCTTGTGGGAAAAAAAGAAATGGAAGTTTCACCAAAAGATATATAGCACATTATATGTTACGCACACAGTATTTTTGAAGTTGTTGCAACACATTTTTCTGTAACAGAACTATAAGAACTGTGGGGTGGCTTTCATCTGTCTTTTAGGTTTTAATTGGTTTTATGTCTCTTTCCTTTTTACATAAATATACATATGCCCACACAGATTCATATATATATGTGCATACATTCATTTCATTTATAAATATTGATTAATATTCTTAATAATGCAAAAATTCAAGCAGAGATTGTACTCCCCATATTAGTTCTGAATCATAACTCATCTTTTGGATGAATCTGAATTATATTGGGGTTCTTTGTAAACAGAGCAGTAAATTACAATATTGTAATAATCATCCTGGTTCTTGATATTTACATCAAAACTCTTAAATATAGTGAATTCACATGAACTTACTTCTGTAGTCATAGGTTGGGAAGCTTGAATTATGGATTTCTATTGTATTTCTACCATTGTACTGTATGCGAGTTGCCAAATAATGGTATTTCATTTTAACGTAAATAAAATACTGTTTATTTGTAATTGGCTATCCAAGAGAAAATGAAGAAGAAGATGGAAGCAGAAGCAGCAAGTAGACAAGCAGATGTAGATGTGCACTTGGATACCAGATCTCTGGATAGCAAAGGAGCATACAGTACCCAGCACCTTGAAGATAATCAGCTTGGAAAACACTATCAGGAAAGCACTGCACTGTGTTAGACCAGATAACAAGATAATGCTCTCAAAAAGGGATGCACAGGAGTTCGACTCTCTATATCACCTCCTCTTCAGAGCAACAGCTGAAGAAGCAAGCTGGGCAATCTTAAACTTTTCTGTATGTCAGTACTACTGAGTCTTTGGAACAGACTCAAATAATTTCTGTGGGTGAAGCTAGTTTTGCCTTTGTCTGCAAGTGACTAAACAAACCCAACCCAACAGAAACACAATGGTGATGAAGCCTGGTAAGCAGCAGACGCTAACAATGCCAGACTGGAAATGATGGAGTCAAGCGGTTCGGCCACTTAAATTTCACAACGGATGGTGATGTTCCAGTAACAAACAGATGCTGGAGATTCACAATGGCTTATTCAGCATCCACATACACTGAATAAAGAGACTTGAAAAAGAAACACACACAACCACAAAAGCCAAGCTGGTAGAAGCACTGATTTGGGTAATTGTTATAGATAGATGAATATGACAGCTCAATGGGTATGAAAAGCTGGACCCACATGGCAGTAGGTAAGAAAAGATCATAGCATTTACTATGCAGCATAGCTGTCAGCGATACAAGGACAGATCACTCCATTAGTACCAGGAAAATGGAAGAGGATCTTTTCGTTGCTGTGGGAAGATCAAGGTATTAAAATCACATATGTACATACGTCAAGAAGTGAAGACCAATTGCAGGACAGACATAGGAATATTTAAGTAGCTCCTTTTAGGATTGCATATATGACTTCAGAATGTTTGATCCAAGAAAGCCTGGCAAATGTTTAAGACCTGCTATGGTGCTTTGGAAAAAATAAAAATGTTATGTAGTTGAGAACAGTTGCTCTGACTTCTGATATGTTTGAGGAAGGCCAGTGATTTCACTGCAGAATCTTATGGATGAAATGAAGGGCACAAGTTAGTTGTCCTAACAATCTTCATACTTGATTGGGCTTAAACAATGAAAGGGTGCTTTTTCAAAACTGCATTTGAAAACAATCTTGTTTAAAGTATCTTGGGTCTTACAAATCACTATCATTTTGAAAACACACTCAGGAGAGTGAAACATATTATACGTTTACATATATTTGGTCTGTATTTGAGTTAGAAGACAACAAAAGTGTCATGGGGCTAATACTAGGGTGATTAGTTAAAAAAGAAAAAAAAAAGATACTCATGAAGAGCAGCAATTGCTACTGCTTGGTTCTAGTAATCTCCCAGAGGCACAGAGTCCAACATTAGGAGAAGGAAAGAAAAAATAGTTTAAAAATGTAGAAAACTGGTTTATAATATTACTGTTGCTGTACATTCCTGTCTTTATTTCTAAAAAAGGTTGTGTGTTAAAAAGTTTATAGTGTTTATTGAAAATAACTGAAATAACTGGATGTGAATTAGAATATATAATCATTGTTCTTGCCAAACGTATTTGAAAACAGCACGTGCATCAAAAATTAAAATATTTTGCTGGCCTTCCAGAGTTTTTCCTAAACCTAGTGTGCATTGGAATCTGAGTGAATGAAATCCCATTAGTCATCACCATCTTAACAATATACACTTCATACAGAGCTGGCTTCTGAACAGAGGACGGAAATTATCAGTACTAACAAAGGAAAGACGATTTATAATGAGCAAATATATAAAAGCTCCAAATAATTATAATATTCACAGCTTGGCAATGACTTTCTAGGCTATGAAATTACTTTTCTTTTGGAAGAATGAAGATTTCACAAGGTTAGTATAAACAAAGGGTAATTGGAAAATCAAATTGCTCTATGCAAGTTATTGTAAGGTCTGGAATAATGGCGATAACATTTTAAAAAGCTTGCTTATGAGTCACTGTATTTTTGTTTTATACATTATTGCCATCGAAAATCTCCCTTTCAAGTGCTACATGGGAAATATAAATGGCTAAATACAAATACCAGCTTACCCCTGATACAATAAGTTCTCCTCCCAGGTTCTGAACTTCTGCCTTCACTTTGCTGCAGATATTGAGTTGGTGGCAGTAAAGGGCAATGCGCTGCAGGTAGGCTAGCAGATCCTGTTTGCAGGCTGAGTCCGGGCACTACAGGCAAAAGAAATATTTGATTAGATGTAGCTGAGATTATATGATAATACAGAGGTTATCAGAGGAGATAGAGGCAATGTGTGTGTATTAGGTGGATCCATTTCGCTTCGTCTTTACAGGAGATACTTGACAAAATCTGAAAATTCAAACCGTACCTTTCATTTAACTCAAGACTTGTGAATTGTAACTTGAAGATGCACTATACTTTTTTTGTAAAAAGAAGAAATCTGTCAGCAACTAATGAAAGGCAATGAAAATAATACGATTGCTATGTTTGTGGGAGAGGTTCACTTATGATATCAGTTTGTACAGAACAGAAGAACATACTGAGCAACCAAAAGACCAAGTTTAACCTGAAACTCCAAGTTGCCTGCCAGGTGTTCAGGTTAAGAGGCAACAGGGACCAGTTTAAATACAGATAAACCCAGTTCTGACTGACTACATCCACTCTAATGCCAACTCCTGACTGTCCTGGCAGCTTCCCTGGCGTTTCTGTAGACCTTCAGAGGACACAGCTCTGCTTCAGACTTGGCAGGGCCAGGCGCCTTACTGACATGCTGAGGACTTGAGAGGAAAAAGTGAGGCTGCTTGGGTTTGGTATTGACAGATTTGGCAAGCTTATTGTTAATGTATAAATACCTTAATTTGTGCCAGAAAAAAATTATTTACTAAAGTCTAAGTGACATATTACAGAGTCTCTCAGCAGATGACATCAGTATTGCAGCCCTTTTCAAGAATGCAATGAGATAAGTTGGCCCCTCTGCATGTCCAAGGGATAGCTCTTCATGCTAGAGGGAAGGTTATCTACAGTCCTCTACCATTTCGGATGTCGTGCATTTCATAGATTTCATAGATTTCTAGGTTGGAAAAGACCTTAGAGATCATCCAGTCCAACCATCCCTAATCCCCCATTAAACCATATCCCTAAGTAGTTCATCCACCCTTTTCTTAAACACATTCAGGGATGGGGACTCAACCACCTCCCTGGGCAGCCTAAGGTATCTCAAACGTGTTTTGACGCAAACAACATTAGGTCAAACGTGGTAGACTCAGAGAAGGTTTTATAATCAATATAACTAGAAAAGGCCCAAGTACAATTTATTCATAGTCTTTGGGATTCTTAATAGAAACAGCATCATCCCCCACAATATCAAGAGCATAATAAACAACACTCTTGTAGTTAATATTCAAAATCTTGCCTCAAGAGAACAGACCTCAGTAATTCACTCTGATGAAACACTGGTAAAAGGGTCCATTGCTAATAGTATGTCTCCAATAAATACTCTTTGTGTCTCTGCAACAAAGTCTGACTGACAATGTTCTTTGATTGCATCGCTTGGGGAACAAAGATTCCAAATATGTCTCTTTAGCATCTTCGAAAGTTTATGCTCAGTTTTTGTAAAATATTATCAGAGCTCTTCAACAAAAACTGATAGAATTAAACACACACAAGTCAAAAGCATCGCAACCTCTGACTTCAGATGACTGCTCTAGCCCCAACAGCTGATACGGGCAAAGCAGCAGTGAAGTAGTTGCATATACTGTCATCTATAACCTTGAAAGCAGTCACTTTGCTCTTTTCTCTCCCTTTATAACTAACAATAAACAAAGCTGGAGGTTCATTGTGGCTGTTAGGTTTAATCTGCTCTATACTTACGGCAATGCTATAATGCCTCTCTTCTCAGGCAGTTGCCACATCTTTCAGGCATGAATCCCTAAGAGACCTCTTCTCTCTACCAGTGACAATTTAATACAGAAATATTTACCCTACTCTTGAAGTCTATGAACTGAAAGAAATGAACTTTAAAGCAATAGTTCTAGAGAGCTGACAAGGCTTTAAATACAAGTACCTTGGAGCGAATGAAAACGTAAAATCTCTCTCATTGGAACAGTAATTAAAAATGCAACTGTCCATAAAAAGTTTATATTGCATGAGTGTCTCCAAAGTTCTGTAAAATATCATTAAAGCGCAAGCATTAAAACAAACACTTCATTCTTACAGTGATTTTACTGTTTATTATTAAAGTGTGCATGCTACAGTCTTCTGAAATTTAAAATGTGTCTCAAGTCACTGCACTCTAAGCATAGCAAGTCTCTTTACTTAGTGTTTCTTTCTTTAAAATATTCCACCTCTGCAGACACTGTAGACTAGGAATTTCATCAGCTGACAGATTTCTCCTTTCTTACGCTAAAATGAACAGATGCTACATTTGAAGAAAGGGAATGGGTTAACTACAAGAAAAATGCTTGCTGACAATGAAGAAAAACTAACCCCCAAATCTCTGAGGTTATAGGAAAACAGGCAGCGTCAGGTTTCTTGCCACTCTGGTCCATATTCCATGGCAGGATGTACTACACACTACTATATGCATAATATTTTCTTGAATAAGAAAAAGAAATACTTATTTTGAAGAGGAAGACTAGAGGCAAGGAAGTTATAGTTCCCACTTCCAGTAAACTTTCTCCTGACAACAATGAAAAGAAAGAAACTATAGGAAGTTTACAAGAGGAAAAAATAGTCAAATTTAATTTGCCTAAATTTAAATTACTTCCCTAGTACCTGGATTTGAAATTTGGGTCTTGACTTTTAATATGATGCTTCCTCTTGCTCTCCAGATGGATACAAAATCCAATTTGAAAGAAAGAGGCTGAATATAGCAAGTTCATCTTTCCATTTGTGACATGATTTTGGTAACGGGACTGAGGACACAGACCCTGGAACATGGAGCAGAGGTGGAAACATGATACCCTAATGCAAAGCAGAAGAAAGGGAGTCAGGGAATCTTGAAAAAGAAAAGTGTAATACCATGGAAAACTACGGGAAGAATGTGCTGAAAAGAATATAAAGATTCCTCAACATATGGCAAGGCTAACAGAGCATCCAAGTCTCTACTGCTTTCATGACAGCAAATATATCAGCTTAATTCTAATACAATCACCTGGGTCCAGAAGTGAGTCTGTGGAACAATTCAGGCACTTCTGAAGTTTAGAGAGATTCATTTATGACTTCCCTGTACTGTAAACCCCAAATTGATTGGTATAGATAAAACAACTTATATTCAATGGGTAGGTCAGTAGCCAGGCAGTGACTTTCAACACGTAATTTTCTGCCAAGTAAAGATAACCTTTTCCTACAAAACTCATAGATAGAAGTTACATTATATTTCTACTCATTTTTGTTGTTACCTGATCAGCTACCGCACGTGCCAATTTGTCCATCCTCGATCCTGCCTCTGCAATCTTCTTGGCTGCATTAATGACATCCGATGTATTCTTCAGGGGACCTTTACCTCTGTGAAATACAATATAATTATGCATAATCTAAATAAAACATGAAAAGCAACAGTTTTAGTGATCCTGTTTAGTGTTTAATTTTAAAATAGTAACATGAATGACTTCTTAATTTATTACGACTTCACCTTCTAACTACTTTATACTACAGCTTGATTAAGAAATCGGTCTGCTATATTTCCTCTCTCTCACAAAATGCCTCGCTAGCAATTTATTCTGATGGTGCCTTCAAGCACATGAACTATACTTACTAGTATATGCATTTTTAAGTGCTCATTAAGCCAACATTCTTTCTGGAATACACAACTATTTCAAAATTATGTTTTTTTTTCAAGCCAGTGCTAAATATTAAGCCTGTCATATCTAGCTCGCATTTTAGAAAACTTTTTCTGGTAGGTCTTTGTGAGAAAACAAAAATACTTGAAGCATAAACCTTATGTTACACTTAAAACATGTATAATTAGCTTAAAGGCTGATCTTTGATTATACTCTTAAGATGATGCACAAAACTCTGATTTTAGTCATTAAAGTTACCAAAATGTATTTAGACAAAAAAGTAAAAAGTCACTGCAAACTTTTCTGAGTTTGCTTCAAACTTTAATTCTCTTTGTAATAGTAAATTTGCTACTGCTCCTGAGAATGGCTCAGATGGAAGTGAGACGATTTTCTTTTTTTTTTTTTTCTTTTTTATACTATGTGGAGAAATATAGCTTCAGATAAGACTGACAGAAAACCATAATATGATCAAATAGCTTTTTAAAAAAAAATAAAACTGAAGGCATTTTTTCTAAGCACAACATAGTATTACTTTTGCATTTTTTCATCTACAATGCCAAGAAAAACATACTGAAACATATTTCCATTTTGATCTTCTTTTCCAACTTTCATTTCCACCTTAAACAGCTACTGAAACACAAAAATTTTAAGTTCAGCTTTCGTTTAACTTAAACTCTAGCAGAAACCCTTCTTAGTGACCTCGTATGCTTCTACATTAATTACGTCAGCAGATCTGACTGCCACAAACTCCATGCATTTGAAAAATTATTCTATTTTAACACTGCTGAGGTTACAGTCAACCAAAAAGGTGTGAAATGCTTTGTTCTGTTTTAATGGAACATATTAAACAAGTTTTTGTTGAATCTGATGTAGACAGAGGTGCACTTTGATTTTTTACTCCTCTCTTTAATTTTCTTCAGTTGTGACAGTTTTCTCTCATTCTCATATTAGTTCTGTTCTTTTGATGGTAGAAAATGTAACTACAAAACTTTCAATTTGATGCTCAATGTATCAAAGGTTGTGAGGGAGTTTGCGGAATGTGTTCATATTATGAGCTGTTGCTTTAGAATATTATTTCTTCATTCCGTGAAATGATGGCACTGTTTGGAGAGTTTTTCACTCTGTTTTTGGGCAGAAGGGTCATAGACCCAAAGACAATACAAATACAAAAGTAATTAAGATTCCTCTTAAATATCATCCTTCACAGGAGGTTCTACACTGTCGCTTGGTATACAGGAGTGGTGAGTCTACTGCAAAAAGAATACTTGTAAAAGCACAAACTGAGAGAAAAACAAGCTGAGAGAATAATTAGTTCGAAAGAAGTATGGTAGTAAGCTATTAAAGTAAGTAAACTTTCTATATGCATATTTAAAAATAAATTGGATAAAAATGTTTGCTACTACCTATTACTAATTAACTACCTATTCAAGTGCAAATAGTGAAGTTATTTGCAAATTAATGGTCTTTATACACCCCACGGCCCCAAGGTATGTGCAAACTCCATACTGTCAATGCAGACACTCTCCAAAATGGGTTAAAGGCTCCAGACACAAGGCATGCAATCAGCTGGAGATTAAGAAATCTATTTAAGCATCTCAGCGAGATGAATAAATGGATGTCTTATTTTAATTCTGAAGAAAAACATGAAGATTTTTGTCCAGTTTTGTCTAATCACATTTTGATAAATATATTTAATCTTTCGAACTCCCATTAAAAATAAACACTGAAAAACCTTTGATTTATTATGGTGATCTGTAATTCAAAGAATCTTCTAAAATGTTCTCCCTGGTGTGATTAATAATATGACTATATTTAAACACAATAATTCTGTTTATATTATATCATTAATGAATGGCCTTTTGATACTCTGCAATTAAAAAAGAACCAGACATCAGTAGGAAAAAGAAATGAAAGCAAAAAAAAAAATCATTACTGACAGGCTCCAATAAATTATTAGATCAAAACAGTTTCATTTCATTTGGGATTTTTTTGGAAAGAAGTTCAGTGTTCAGAATGATATAAATAGTTTCGCCATTATTTTTGATTGACACAAATTGTGTTGAAATGTTGAAAGTTCAGAGAGGCACATGCATTTAGATGGGTACTAAACGAAATGTCAGGTGACTGTCTGTAAGGTCACAGACTATCTCTGCTGCTGAAATTCAAGATGATCTGCAAATACAACAGATTCGCAGATAGGACAAAAACTTCATGTGCTTAATCCCATTTGGATTCCCATTTAATCACGTGCTTAATCCTATCTGGTGAAATATATAGAGTAGTTATGTGTAGAGAACTGTACGACTCATCCCAGTATGTATGATGTGTGTCACCTAGCTCTGCATCCCCCGAAACACAGCCCATCATAGAATGATTTGGGCTGGAAGGGACCTCAAAGATCATCTAGATCCAACCTCCCTGCCATGGGCAGGGACACCTTCCACTACACCAGGGTGCCCAAAGCCTCACTCAATCTGGCCTTGAACACTTCCAGGGATGGGGCAGCCACAACTTCTCGGGGCAACCTGTTCCAGTGCCTCACCACCCTCAGAGTGAAAAATTTCTTCCTTATATCCAATCTAAATCTGCCCTCTTTCAGTTTAAAGCCATTGGCCCTTGTCCTATTGCTACACGCCCTTGTAAAAAGTCCCTCTCCAGCTTTCCTGTAGGCCCCCTTTAAGTACTGGAAGGCTGCCATAAGATCACCCCAGAGCCTTCTCTTCTCCAGGCTGAACAGCGCCAACTCTCTCAGCCTGTCTTCATAGCAGAGGTGTTCCAGCCCTCGGATCATCCTCGTGGCCCTCCTCTGGAGGAGGGCCATGAAGATCATCTCGACAGGCTATAAATTGCAACAAAAAGGAAAAACGTGGGATATCTGAAGAAGTCCTCAGTAAACATTATTTTGTCTTACCTAGTAAAGTCTGTCATTTCCATCATAATCATGCACATCTGCTTTGCCAACACAATGATGTCATTACCACTGTCATCCCACTTGGCCACCTCTGCATCCAGTTTGCTCTTTTCTTGGTGGAATATCTCTACCTGCTCGGCAATCTTAGCCTTCTCTTCCTGGGGAAGCTGAGCCATGATAGCCTGGAGAAAAAAACAAGAGAAGTTGGGCATGAAAAAAAGGAAGCTAGAAACTATATACATTCCCAGGGGTTCAAACAGCATTCCCAATTTCTACTTTCTTCTTACGGGATTTGAAGATGCCAAGCAAAATCCAGTAGACATCTGATTTCTGTTAGGATGGGCAAAAAGAAATTAATAGGATGTTTATACCTCATCTTATACCTTCAAGAATTTCAAAATTATGTATGTGCTGCCATGATATACAGATTATTCACCACTCTATACAGGAGGATTTAAGGAATCTCCAGTTATATGTTAATTTTTAGGAAGAACAAAATAAATGAAATCTATGGGAAAAGGCAGACTGAATTACCAGTTATCTCCCCTAGTCTCATTCTCTTTCAGAAATATAGGTTTTCTGCCTAACCCAACACTATAATAAGCTATGACATGGAAGATAATACATTTGAAGTGCATCGTAATGAATGTACCTTTCAATAATATTTAGTGGTTTAATTGTCTCTTGGAAGATATGCAAAAAGGCATTAAACAGGTTGATACTAATCTGCCTCGACATTACCAGCAAAGCAGAAAGTTCCCAGCCCCTCCAAAACAGCAAAAAGAAAACCCTACAAAATTATAATAATTACTTTTGAAGATCAAATGGACACTTCCAGTAATGATTTCCAAGTTGAGCTACTATTTGGCTGTAGGGGTTCTGAAGACCGCATTATGCATTTAATGGGGTGTGACACATATTTAAGTGTCATTACATTTTTTCTTGTTTATGTCACTTTCAATCAGCTGAAGTCTTTCTCTACGTATTCTTAAAACGCTCTTGGCTTTTAAAAATTCATAATTGACCTTTTCCAAAACCGAAATTAAAAAAAGGTTATAAACAGTAGATCAGAAAAGGAGAAATTTGCAAGTCAATCAAATTAAAATTCAAGATGAGTTTTAATTAGCCCTGATCAATGTAACTCAGCAGTTTCAAATGTTAGCACATTAGTCTCTGCACAGAAAAATGCAGTGTAAGTCAAGCTAACAGAGAAATACATAAAATACATGTAAACCACTAGAACAGACAAATTAACTGAAATGAAGAGAATGTGATAGGAGTGGTAAAATTTGGAAAGCTGATCTGTATGTCTTGCACATGGTTTCTCTCTGTGGGCAGCTTCACCTGCACACTCTTTAAACCGGTGTTCAGTGTTTTAACATTTCTTTTCCAGTTGCTGACATGTTTTCAAATAAGCTACATCCTATAGCGAGTGCAGCTCATATATTCAAGTTTTATTTCTGTTGAAGACCAACACAAGTCTTTCTACTGAAATACTAAGAGCTTTACAGAGTAAGCACATGAAACAAATCTATTACACTCCACAAATAAAAATCCTGCTTTTGCACAGAAAAGGTTCAAATAACATACTATTCTCCTTAGCAGACTCATTTCAATGAGTCACTCAAGACTGTGGACTGGGCAGCTTCTGCTTAGCATGTTTTCATTTCGGGTTTTCATTTTCATTTCATTTGTTTTCTCTTGTGACATATTGCATTCTACACTATTCAGGAATGGGACTGTCTTTTTAATATATTATGTTTATACAGTGTATAGGTGATCAAAGCAGAAGGTTTTAAATGCAGCAGTGATAATATCATAATAAATGTGATAGAATTTAGGACTCTTAAGTCCTTAGATTACCAAGGATCTAGTTCAAAATATATTTTGCCCAGAGAGGTGGTGGATGCTCCATCCCTGGAGACGTTCAAGGCCAGGTTGGACGAGGCCCTGAGCAACCTGATCTAGTTGGAGATATCCCTGTTCCTTGCAGGGGGGTTGGACTAGATGACCTTTGAAGGTCCCTTCCAGCCCTAACCATTCTATGATTCTATGATAACTGCAGTTTTTATTTCGTTTTCAGATCAAGAAAAGATTATATGCTACCCAATTCTAGATGTAGCCCCCCCAAAAATTAAAAAGACTGTATCAAAATACATTTGTACCTGTGACTTAATTTAGTAGTCAATTCTTTGCATGTATCAAACAGACTTTATGTTCCTTAAAATATAAAAATCCCAGAAAGATAGTCAGCTGCATCCAGACATAGTTCTGTTATTGTTCTCAGGGTAAGGTATCCAGGTATCATTCTGCAATTCTCCTGACTGCATGGTTGACATGGTTTAGCCACAGCTGGCAACTAAGCACCTCGCAGCCCCTTGCTCACTCCTACTCGGCCCCCAGTGGGATGGAGAGAAGAAAATATAATAAAAGGCCCAAGGGTCGAGACAAGGAAGGGAGGGATCACTCACTAATTACGGTCAAGGGCTAAACAGGCTTGACTTGGGGAAAAATCAATTTCATTTGTTAGCAATCACATCAGAGACAATAATGAGAAACAAAGCCAGATCTTAAAAACACCTTCCCCCACCCCTCCCTTCTTCCCGACTCTACTTCCTGCCCTTGAGCAGCGCAGGGGGTCTAGGAATGGGGGAGTACAGTTAGTTCATCACATGTCATTTCTGCCACTCCTTCCTCTTCAGAGGAAGACTCCTCACACGCTTCCCCTGCTTCTGCACGGGGTCATTCTCACAGGACCCTGTTCTCCATGAACTTCTCTTACATGAGTCCTTCCCACAGGATGCAGTCCTTACTCAGAGTGCCCCAGCGTCAGCTTTCCCACAGAGTCAAGGTCTTCTTTGGGTGCAGCCACCTGCTTCAGTGGGGGATCCTCCACGGGCTGCAGATGCATCTCTGCCCCACTGTTAAACTCCAGCAGCATGGGTCCTTTCCCACAGGATTCAGTTCTCCACAAACTCCTTTGAGTGCAGCTACTCGCTCTGGTGTGGGGTTCTCCACAGGCTGTGAGTGGATCTCTGCTCCACCGTTAATCTCCATGGGCTGCAGGGTGGCACTTGCTGTCTCACCATGGGCTACAGGGAAATCTCAGCTCTGGCACACCTCCTCCCACTACATCTTCACTGACCTTGGTGTCTGCAGAGTTGTTTCTCTCACATGCCCTTCCTCTCTCCACTGCAGCCGTACTGGGCCCAACTGGCCCAATGAACCTTGGCGGTCCCAGCAGGACAAACTGTGCCCAATGGGCACCCCAGGAGCAGGGCTTTTCAGAGCGCACCAAGCCACACTGCCATAGCCACCACCAGCTGAGTGGTGCAGCCCGTCCAGGAGGCCAGGGGCCAAGCCCCCACCTCTCCCCTCTCTCAGCTACAGGTCCCATATTGTGTGGGTTTCTTTGACCCTTCTTAAATACATTATTTACAGAGGTGCTGATTGGTTCAGCCCTGGCCAGAGGTGGGGTTGAGTTGGAGCTGGGGAAGCTTCTAGCAGCTCCTTACAGGAGCTATGCCTGTAGCCCCGCCCTCGCTACCAAAACCCCACCCACATAAAACCAACACAATGGTTTTCGATGCCAGTTCCTGCTCACCCAGCTCTCTGGCATAAGACCTACAGTCCATCTGCTCTTCCTCTAGGTCATAATGATGTATATGATATGTCTTTGATATACAAGGATAAAATTTTTTGTCCTTGGGATATAGTGATAGAAAACAGCTTTTCTGATACATGGTATGGTTTATTTACCATCTGTATTCAATATTCAAGGAAACTAAGTTAAGAAAAAAATAAACCTCTGCCCATTCCACTGTATTTGTGTCTCACATTCCTCTCATACCTCTGAGTAAGCTTCACTTAGGTTTGTGTTACTGTACTGTTTCATTTCAGGGTATAAAATGCTTATGTCAAACCCTAACATACTGTGGGTCTTCCTACAGCCACTGAAAACTCCTCCTTCCTGGTCCTCTTAATTGATCTTTCAAACCTTCATTGCCTTTTGTTCTTCAGATTTTCAGTCGTACAAAACCTCTCAGAATTCAAGGGAAGAAGTCACCATTTCATTTATCAGCTTTTGCTACAGTGTTTGAGTGTGCGTGGAGAGGATGTTTCTCATTTAGTCCATTACTTCACTTTTACCACTTATCAGAGGAAACCACAGCCATGAAAATCATTCAGGTAATTCCCAGTTCCCCACTGGTTCTCTGCTGCAAAATTTCAATGCTTTTTTTTAAACTCTCTTTCCAGTCAAATATATTCTCATGATGTCGTTTGCCCCCAAAATTGTATTCTCAAGGAGTTTTTTTTTATAATCTGAGCTGAGCAGCCTATTTAGTAAAAGGTAAACATTCATCAGAGAGTGGCATAATCCTGAATGTTAACAAACTTCACTTCTCCAGCACCTGTGACCCCTGAAGCACTCATCAGCTTAATTTGCACTCCCCATGCACAACCGAAGGTCGCAAATCACAATGACTTGAGTTTATCATGATGTAATTACCCCAGTAAAATTACATTGACTCAGTAACAAATGTCTTCAATTACAATTAAATTACAGGGACTACTCAGTAGCTTAAACAGATCTTCTTGACAGGTTTGCACACTGGGAAACATGACTAATGTAAGATTTCTCTACATACAGCACACGGTGCCCTGATGGGAATTTTTTTTTTTTTTTTTTTAAATTAGCTGACTACTCCCACAGTTACAGCACATTCCATGGCTGCCTTGGGCATAGGGAGGCAAAATGATAAGAGTTTTTGATTCTTGGAGAAGTAAGGACGGGAGTCAGCAGAACTGCTACCTTAGATTTCCAGAGGGCAGACTTTGGCCTGTTTCTGAGCCTGGTTGACAGAGTCTCTTGGGAGGCAGTCCTGAAGGGCAAAGGAGTCCAGGAAGGCTGGACATTTTTCAAGAAGGATATCCTACAGGCACAGGGGCAGGCTGTTTCCATGTGCTGAAAGATGAGCCTGCAGGGAAGACGACTGGCCTGGCTGAAGAGAACACTTTCACTGGAACTCAGGAAAAAAAGGAGGGTTTATAACCTTTGGAAGAAGGAGCAGGCAACTCAGGACTACAAGGATGTTGTGAGGTTATACAGGGAGAAAATCAGAAGCACCAAAGCCCAACTAGAACTTAATCTGGCTACTGTGGTAAAAGACAAATAAAAAAGTTTCTACAGATACATTAGCAACAAAAGGAGGGCTAAGGAGAACCTCCATCCTTTATTGGTTGCGGGGGGGGAAAGGTTAAGTGACAGGTCTGGCACTTGCATCACAAC